TATAAGAATATCTATGGTTACACTATTAGAATGCCTATGGTTAGACTATTAGAATGCCTATGGACACACTATTAGAATGCCTATGGTTACACTATTAGAATGCATATGCTTACACTATTAGAATGCCTATGGTACACTATTAGAATGCCTATGGTAACACCATTAGAATGCCTACAGTTACACTATTTGCTCTCCCATGTTACTGTGACCATTACAAATGTTAAACGAACATCTTCACAAACTCTCCAAATTTTAAACACCGTTTTGACTTAATGATCGGCTTTTAGTGGCCTGGACAAGGTAGTCGCATAAAGAAAACTTCGTGAGAAAAATGAACAGACGAAGAAAAACTGGTTTCTGAAGAATTATGAACTGATGAAGAAAACCTCTGGTTTCTGAAGAATTATGAACAGATGAAGAAAAACTCTGGTTTCTGTAGAATTATGAACAGATGAAAAAACTCTGGTTTCTGAAGAATCAAGAACGGGTCCTGAAACCAATCGATACTCGACAATCCTCGGGGTTTAGTTTTAAGTTTATTTTTTCCCCAAGAGCTCTTCAAACTTTGACGCTGCCGGGGAGTGACGTTTCGCGGGTTGAAACCAAGTTCACCGCCGGAACCGGAAGCCGGCCAATATCCAACGCGCCGGCAAGTCTGTGCGCCGTGTTTGCCGTGAACACAAGAGTTTCCTGGCCACATGGCCGAACACGTGTCCGTATTGTGACAGGCCACTCTAGGCTGACAGAGGCCCCGCAGACCCGGGAACCCCGTGGTAGCGAGATCTTGAGACCCACTGGGCCCCGTGTATCAAGTCGGTAGACGGAGGCTGGGGCCGAATGCCAATGAGCGAATTAGTCAATTTTAATGGCGGATTTGGTTGGTTGACTTCACAAAGCTGGACCCACATCAAAACACGGATTTAGTCTGACATGCATCAGACATGCATGAAACAATGCGCACTCTATACATACACACCATTCACACACACACTGTCCACACACAAACACCATTCACACACACACACTCCACACACATTAACCATTCACACACACACACCAAGCTCACACATACACACTCCACACACACTTACCCTTCGTTCACACAAACCACCCCCCTCACCCACCCACCCACATCCCATTACAAGAATGAGATGTTATTTTTTTGGGTTTGGTCCAACTTAAAATTTTGTTAAAATTAAAAAAAAAACAAGTGCAACATTTAAAATTCAAATCATGTTCGGCAACTCTGTTAAATCGCCCCTCTGATTACTTCTTTGTTATCTTTCCCTGTCTGTATTTTTCTTGGTGGTCGCTGGACTTTAACTCAAGTATCAGAAGGGTAGCGGGACTTCCCGAAAAGTATATTTGAACTGTTAAATCGCGAGACCTTGACAATGACGCGGGGAGTGGGGGAGGGGGGGGGAGGGGGGGGGTACAATCTTAATCTGTCCGAGTTAGGGGACAAGGGCGTTGGGGACTGGTCAAGCAGACATGCGCAGTGATGAGAATATTAATGAAGCTGTTGGTCAACAGCGGGCTTTTAAACTTGGTTAGTTGGGTGGGCGGCACCATACTGGTGGAGATTGGCGATGTTCAATCAAGGAGAGAAGGGATGGGGGGGAGGTCAAGTAAAAATTTGGGGGGAGGGGGTATGTTAGACTTACAATCTAGAGACTGCAGTGAAAGCTGTGTGTGGAGAGGGGTTGTTACTTCCACAGCAGCGAAATGAAAGTTATATTTGCCTTTTGCCCGAACAACGACGGTCGCTTGCATTATTCAGATTGGTCCCTCAGTGTCCGGCATCGACCGTTTTAATCAACGGTGACCGGCACTCACGGCTGTGCCGGCTCCCCGTGTTTTTCCTTGAGTGACCTGTCGTTGAACTCCTTTCTGTTTTTTTTTCTTTCACTGCTCTGTGTTTTCTACGGATTGACACTTAGGCTACGTACAGCTTTAGTAGAAGGAAATATGGTGGGTAGGGGGGGGGGGGGAGACAAGGGATTGATTGGAGAGTACGTTGATTGGAGGTGGGAGATGGACGCTACGTTGTGGGACGGAGAGTATTGACCGGATGTTATTAGCAAGAAAGTGAAAGGAGAAACAAAAATAAAAAGACTGTAAATAGTTTAGACTAGTGGGCTTTGAGCTATATAAATGTGAGAAAAAATGTTTTTTTTTTTTTGTTTTGAAACACAGTGATGCCATTAACCTTATATGATGTTTTAATTATTATTTTAAATTTAAAAATAGTTTGAAATGTATACATTTCTGTAACCATGGAGATTGATGTAATACTAAACTTTTTTTTTTAAACTACTAGAACACGCAAATCCTTTGATTGGTGCTAGAAATAGTGATGTGGGGTGGGTGGGGGGTGTTCTGTTGATGACTGGTTTAAAAATAACGAAGTGATTAGGAGATTAGTGGATGAATAAACGAGAAATTAAAAGGCTTGCTTTAGGGTAGGGAGGGGGTGGGTGTGGTGAGATGTTGTCAGGCAAGAGGGGGGGTTCATTCATTAACGGATTAGGAGATGCATAATCAGGCAATGGACGGGAGGCTAAACAAGGAAACAGGACCATAGGGGCAGTGTGGGAAACGGCTTTAGTTAATTCCAAATGACGAGGTTGTTCTAATGCACGAGGAAAAATGGCGATATCTTAATATAGCGCGCTAGCTCGGCAAACGGAAGTTAATTGGTGGGAGGGGCGGATTTGTTGACGTACATCTCTCGATCGGAAGTGACGTGTGTTTACGTTTTGTAAAGACCAGATGCCTTTAATGGCTCGACATTAGAGTTGGGGTTAATAATTTCTTTCAAACTTGAAAAATCGGTTTTAAAGTTTCCTCGTATTTTATTTAGCGTTTTAATGGAGTTAAATCTTCATGAATGTTTTTTTTTTATTTAAATTCAATTTTTTTAATGGACGAGAGATGAAAATGATTTTCAAAATGAGGTTTTTGAAAAGGTTGTCACAATATACGTGTATGTGTTGTGTACGTTGTGTGTATGTTGTGTGTATGTTGCGGGTATGTTGTGTGTATGTTGCGGGTATGTTGTGTGTATGCAGAGGCGTAGCGAGGGGGGGGGGCGGGGGTGCGGACCACACCGGGTGATACCATATAGGTGGGTGACACCAAGGCAAAAAAATAGCAAAATATATAGAGAAAAACTCGAGGAGGGGGGTGCAAATCGAAAACTTGAGGGGGGGGGGGTGCAAATCGAAAGTTTGAGGGGGGGGTACAAATCGAAAATTTGAAAGTTTGTCCCCGGGAAGGGTCGCTACGCCTCAGGGGGGGTGTCACCATTAATTGCCGCACCGGGTGACACCCGACCTCGCTACGCCACTGTGTGTATGTTGTGTGTATGTTGTGTGTATGTTGTGTGTATATTGTTTGTGTGTATGTTGTGTGTATATTGTTTGTGTGTATGGTGTGTGTATGTTGTGTGTATGTTGTGTGTATGTTGTGTGTATGTTGTGTGTATGTTGTGTCATCTGTGATGAACACTCTTACCCCCACCATTTATATAGATAGGTACGTGTTGTAGCTATACCTAAGTTTTATGTTGTAAGATATATACGTCGGTTATACGGCTATACATCATATATACCTGATAACTTGGTAATAAACTTAAGGTTTCGAGGTTGGTGTTGTTACACTTGGTCAGGTTCCAAGGTAAACCTAGATATTTTGAGTAGGTTTAAACCGTCGTACCAATTGAGAATCGTGTGTAGTGGATCATTCGATTTTAATCAGAGGTGGGAATATTGTATAGCTGTTTAGTAAAAAGTTATATTGTTCTGATTGATACATGTTATACTGTTCTGTATCTGATACTGGTCTATGTGGGATATTGTTTGCTTTATGGAAAACAGAAATCGTAATGGAGGGGGGGGGGGGGGGGTTGAAAGAACCATCTCTTTACCCATTTGAATTTTTTCTTTTACAGCAAATAATATCAGCCTTGACCTCATAGGTGGGTTTAGTGGGGTCACATCCGGGTCAGGCATGTAGAGACGAACACGGGCAATCGATGATCGATAACACGATCGGATCAGCCTTTCATCACACGACTATCCTTCCACTCTAGATGACATCAATACATCCCTCTCCGGTCACGATGACCCCTGGTCACTGCCGGCTGCCGGCACCACTCGGATTTAATCATGTCATAACCGGCTGAGCCGGCCATTGATCGGCGTATCTAGTGAGACAATATTGGCGATCGTTATGGCGAATTATTGATATGGCGCTTTAGGATCTTGACTCATGAAAGATTGATGACGCTAGGTGGCGCAGCTGTTGTGCCTATTTTAACCGATCTATTTTTAGATTGAATACAAACATAAATTACGACGTGTTTACTCAACCACTTGACGTAACTGTTTGCCTATTTCATCATAGCGCTGTGGGATTTACTGTGTTTTTTATCAATGAACTAAATGAGCGGAAACATATATCGAAAAACTGAACTAGGAAATTGTAGTAATCACACAACAGACTTAGACAATGCTATTGGAGAAACAATAAAGACAAAGCATAGTTGCTTTAAAAAAACATTAAGTTAGAGTGTAACAGAACTTTATTCTTTTTGTGTTACAAATATATTTTGTATTATTGCGCTAATTGCATGTCATGTTTTGCTGAGATCATATGTCTTTTAAGTGATATTCTATTTATAGCACATATCTATCACACATAACATTCATATATTATTCCTGTATTATCTGTCAACAAATTTATTACACATATATATGTAACTGCTGGAGTGACCCTATCACATATCATAATGTACTGTCCGCGTCATGATTCCCTTGTTGCCCCTATCCCATGACGCCCACTTTGTATTGCTACAATCTAAAGCTCAAGTCTTATCCCTACCACGTGACTCCCGTCTTGCCCCTATCATCTGACCCTAACGCCTTACCCCCTCACCTGACCCTCACGTCCTGTCCCCATCACGTGACTCCCGTAACATTCTCCTCCTATCTCCCCAGGTAAAGACGAGCGCGCCTGGAGCATGTACATCGACGAGAAGCGCAGCTGGTTCATGCACATGGACGAACACACGAACCGCACGGACGGGGGGATCCGGTGCGGCAGTACGGTGGGGGTCCTGCTAGACCTGACCCAGCACACCCTCAGCTACTACGTCGACGACGTCCCCCACGGGCCCATCGCCTTCACCAACCTCCACGGCGTCTTCTTCCCCGCTGTCAGCATCAACCGTGACGTGCAGGTGACCCTCAGGTCTGGCCTGGTGCCGCCCGTGGACAGCGGCAGTGAGGCTGAGTACTAGTGAACTCTACAACACGGCTATGTGAGGCTGAGTACTAGTGACTGGTACACCTTGACTCTGGACAGTGAGGCTGAGTACTAGTGACCTCTACAACACGGCTGTGGGCAGTGAGGCTGAATACTAGTGACCTACAACACGGCTGTGAGCAGTGAGTGAGTACTAGTGACCTACAACACGGCTATGTGAGGCTGAGTATTAGTGACCGGTACTCCTTGACTGTGAACAGTAAGGCCCTGAACTAGTGACCTTGGCTGATATCTCTCTATCAACATGAAACAGAGAAAGTAACATATACTTGTATTATTATGACATCTGTTTTGTAAACAGACTTACACAGCGATCTCATAAAATATATGTCATTAAGAATTTAAAACCCCCACTAGCTTTATAGAACGAGCAGTTCTAACCTACGAAAAAAATAAAAAATAAAAGCGGAATCGAAACATTTATTTTCTTTAGAAATCAATTAGTCCGTGCCTTCTTTACATAGGCCAAAGTTCCATAGTCTGGTCTTTAAAAGACACCCTGATCTAACAAGATAAACTAGTTATTTACACGATACATGTTTGGCCTCTTAACAAAAATTTGAGCAGTTGGACTGAAAATTGACAATTTATTTGGTAAAACTGCCGGATGTAGAGCCAGGTAGCTAATGTAGAAATATGAACTGATTTTAATACATTTTAATTTTTTTTATCTAAACGATGTGATAAATATTTAATTACTGAACTATTTTCATTCTATTTTTATATGTCTTTGTAAATATTGATTACTTTACGATCGAATGCCTTTACTTGGGTGATTTAAATTATTGTCTTTGCTTAGCATTATGTAAAGTATTAGCTTACCGAATTAACATGTGAATTATGTATATATCATAACTTCGTGTACATACGGTTCTATATGTGTGTGTGTAAAAGTTTCTCCTCGAGTGAAAGATACGTTTCTCGTCTTCTTAAGATACTGACCATGTAACCCCGGACTGTCCTTAGCACCAGCAGACTTGGCCCAAGCACTGGCCTAGAAAACTCCCACGACACACAGTAAAACTGTAAGAATGGGGGTTTGGGGTCATTCTGATTGGAGATAACAATACACGTCAGCAACAATGTTGACCTGTTCGATCCCCTACAGGGTTCACCTGAGGACGAAGAAGACGGATAGGTTGTTTTGTTTGTAAATGTTTTGTGTGTAGGTACGTGATCCGCTATCTACAACACTAACATCTGTCATTAGATTTAAACTCTACTAACACGTGAATCAACAGGGTAACAATACTCTCCGTAAACCAAACGCACACAGAACGGGGTTGTTTAAGCCAATCTAACATTGCCAGCCAATATATTTTACACTTTTCTAAAAAAAAATTTAAAGTTCATTTTAGTTTATTTTTAATTATTTAATAATGTACATCGTGTTAATATATCTTTTAACTTATTAATGAGTATTTAAATCATACTAACGTTTTTTATTGCGACAACCACCTACACTATCAGGTTGGTATTGAACTTTTTCACTCAAGTTTTTCACGACATCACATACAATTAACTTTTACCTCCCATAACATATCCCATAATATTAACAAGACCCCATCACAGGTCACCATACAGAGATCCCTTCATAAAGATCCCCATGATGGGATCCCAATGTACTGACCCCATCACTTCACACACATACTAACCTCCCACACACAATTCCTTATCAGGATGCTACGTGGAGTGTTTGGAATAATTTTACCTGCATAAATATTCATACCTTTATTTTTTTTTATATTAAACATCATACAACATGCCTTCAACTTTGAAGGCATAAAACACCATAAAAATATTCATACCAGTAATTTTTTTAAAATTAAACAGCAAAGTAATATTAAACAGCATAAAAATATTCATACTTTTAATTTTTGGAAATATGAAACACAATAAACATATTCATACCTTTAATTTTTTTAAATTATTAAACACATAAAAAATCTATACCTTCTACCTTTAAAAATATTACACAGCATAAATATATTTGCTTTAACCAAGTTTTTATTTTTAAAATTCAAATTGAAATGATTGTCACATATCATCATTTGGTGTCAGATAAATATTTAAGGAACAGATTCAGTAGGCGGCGTATCTGTCATAATTTCCTGTTTGTCTTAGTTTCAAGGACACGCTGATGTAATTGGATTTTTGTTGACAATGGCATATTTTTAGAAAACTTAATTCAAAAATGCATTTGGTAAATTATATACGTTGTAGAAATTTGATTGCAAAATTGTATTAATGAAGACCGAGATTATCTTCTATTCTAAATATGGAAGACGCGACCATTTTATATCTATTTTTAGCGACATCAATTGCGAGTTTAATATTTCCGCGGGGCGTTTTTTGCAGAATATTAAAAACAATAGATAAGACAATGAACGCTAAAATGTGTTGGCGAATTGACAATATTCACAGACAGTGGTGGGCGGGAATGCTTTTACATATTGCAACATCGTCATTGTAAACCTAGCCTCGTTTTTATTATCTACATAAATATCTAAAAATAGAATACTCAGTTTACGTAGATGAAATCGTGGCAGTTGAATTATTTAGTAGAAATGTTTTGACTTGATATTTTAACCAACATATAGTGAACTTAATTTAGCATTGTCCTCTTGGGGTGTATTTTAAGTATTAATTAATTATTTAAAACATCGAGCAGTTATTATTGCACATCCAGGGTTTGGCTAATTATATGCTACATGCTTTAACTTTTTAATCAGCGTTGTTCTTAAAAAGACTCAATTCCTTTGATGTAATTTTGATGTAACTTTGATATTATTTTTACGATGTTTTTACGCGGCAGCGGCTTCAAAGGCAGATTGCACGTGCGAATGTTTTGATGAACAAAATGATTTGAAAGCTTCAAATCCAGTGGTTCTCAAATAGGTTGTTATGTGGTTCTATTGTTTTACCATAAGCCAGACTTAACGAAAATTTACAACATAAAGTCTAACCTATATATATATATATATATATATATATATATATATATATATATATATATATATATATATATATATATATATATATATATATATATATATATATGTATATGTATATTATAAGATCCGTACATTATAAGATCCGTATGCCTAACATCATAAGGTCCCTGCGTCACATACAAACATCACCAGACCGGATCAACAATTACATTTTCCCTTGATCCTACGCGGACCTAAGACGTGGAGAGTTCCAGAACGACTATCTGCTAGTCTCACCAGCAGCCATCAATGTTAATCTGTCCTTCATTATCTCTAACTACTTCATCCGATTGATTTAAATAGTTTTAATGTTAATTTTTCCAGTTGAATAAATAGTCCTCATCTGGTGTAGCTTTAGGGTGCCGACGCCCTCTGTACGACATCTGATGTAGCTTTAGCGTGCCGACGCCCTGGTTTGAGACCCACCCTACTAAACCTGGGACCTTCTTTGTCCCCACATCAGATACAGCCTCCCCCTCAGGCTGACCGGACATCGAACTCTGGTATTTGCTGGTCACACATGACTGGCGCTGACACGGTTGGACGAACATGCACCACGTGATGACTCAGCTAATATCGCTCAGAGATCAATACTAATAACAACATTATCGATTTGTTTTGTCCGTCTTTTTACCCTCCTTCCTTATAATTAATAAACCCGGTAATTAACGTTTTTTTTAATGTTCTAATCCGTTGATTTTATCAATCCTGACTTTATAGCACTGTTGGGGACGGCGATCGTAAAACAGATGAACAATTCTCTTTGTGGAATCTACGAGCGACTATTGCAGGGCCCTATCAGTTGACTGCGTGAATTATTTAGGGAACAGCGCGATTTGACTTTCATCATCAAAATCTTTCTCAACTCAGATTGCGGTGACTTTATGATTCAGTGTTTCCGACTGTAAAAAGAAGAAGGACGTTATAACGGCATACGGGACGTTAATTTTACACATAGACTTATGTTTAAAACATATGATTAAAATGGTTCGGTTTGATCCCCTACCTCTATGGACCAAACCATATATATATATATATATATATATATATATATATATATATATATATATATATATATATATATATATATATATATATATTTATATATATATATATATATATATATATATATATATATATATATATATATATATATATATATATATATCAAGTTAACAAAGTAACATATGTATATATACATGATACTTCTTAACTGACTTATTTTTTGACGTAATGATACGATTTAATAAATACATTTTATTAACAAATTCTCAAATATAAAGATTATTTTCATAAAAAGAAGTCTCCCAAATTCCTGGTGCTATAGCCGTCATTTTAATTAACCTGATTTCAACAAAACCGCCAAGTCCACACGAGATCTGGATATCTCGTCCCAAAGTTAAAACGAGAGAAAAGATTTCGCCCGATTTTTTTTCTTTCAATATAGCTACAAATCCTCTAGTAAAGCGCCCCGCGTTGATCGAATGCGCTCTTTAGGGCTAAATATAGATCCCTTTCCCACGGGATGTCATTAATATTGACTTGAAACTGCAGGGGACACTCGAAAATAGGTTATTGATGTGGTGTGATGTGTCGGGGGAGTGGGGGTGGGGGTGTATTTACTGATGTGGTCCTAATCGTAAAACAGTTCCAGGACTTGTAGTGAGTAGAGCAAGTGGGATCGTTGTTCGGGGTGGTGTTGGGTGAATCCAAATATGCTCACGCTTTGGGTATGTTAAGATAATTGGGGGGGGGGGTGTAGATGGGTCGGGGTGTAGAGGTGAGTGAATAGTACGGGGGAGGCGGTATAGTAAATGGATCTGACAATAGTAGAGAAAGTTGGTTGTGTGGGTATTTTTTTTAATCTTTCAATATCCCTGCGAAGACTTGTACACATGTAAACCTGTATAGCTGGATTAGAAGGGTGGACATTGTCCGGTTTAAACAATGTTTACCTTGATTTTCACGTCCACAACCTTGT